GTTATCTATAGGCCTGCAGATGTACAGGACATAATAACGTTACTTTTTCAGGTCCCGAAAACACCCAAATTAATGAAAATTTAAATGAAATATTCATGAATTATGTGTTTGAAAAATCTATTAGTCCTATGTAAGACCCTAAAAAAATACTACTTTGTCGCTTTTCTCACAAACCTCTTCCAGGCCTCTGCCCCTGGACCACCAAATTTCAAAAAGTCCACTTTTTAAAACCTATTATTTCTATAGTAGGCCTATGCATTACATTTTTTTTTTAATTATCGCGAAATGCTATGATATGCATTAAAATTTTTTTTTTGCCTGCTCTTCACCCGTTGATTTTTAATAATGTGCTACGAAATCTGTTGGAAATTATCAGCTCCAGTGATTGTAGGCCTACAGATGAAAAGGACATGAAAAAATATAATTTCACAGTGGTGGATTCAAGGGGGAGATCCCCCTAAAATTATAAAAGAAATGGAGAAAAAAGAAAAATCATAATTATAAAGTTTGTCTGAGAGTGCCATTTCCGGCCACTTTGAGGTGGCTGCCATAATTATAAATTTTCTTACCTTAGCCCTTACCATGGTGGTGGGGCTGAGGTGGTATTGACCATCTGTCTGTGCAAGTTTCTCCCTTCACCCCCGCCCTCTATTTCTCCTGCTTTACTGTAGGTCCCTATACAATAATAATCAAATGAATGAAAATTTAAATAAGATATTACAAATTATGGATTTTAGAAATCCATTAAAAAGGCCCTCAAAATGCTAATTAAGTTAGAGCTGTCAGAAGATTCGCCCCAACCTCGCGGGGATCTAGGCAGTCGCCCATCTAAAGGTCCACTCCGATTGCAAAACCACCTCCCCATCGAAAATCCTGCCTACGGGGACCTGCTTGCTATGCAAGTTAAACGCCTGTATTAAGTACAACACTGGATGATATATTGTTATGAAGACAAAAATAAACAAGTTGGTAAATCACAAGACATTTAAACAGGGTAAAAGTTCAGATTAGACTAATGAATAAAAAATATTAATCATAGGTAACTTTCTGAATAATTTCAATAACAATTTTATTCGATGATTAGCTGTGATATTCCAACAATATGGAAATTGCCCTCCCAGCATATTAAATACTTGAAAACAATTTCTGTTACTTATCAATTTTTCTCTAATTTTACCATATATGGGATAGATAATGTCATATCACACCTATATATTGGAAAAATCCACAGATATTTGTCACATAAAACTATAATTGCATATTAACGTCATTGGTGATGTCATCACTTTCATTTGCACTAAATTTTCCTATCCCCTACTGATAATGCTTCCGATTTTTTGTGTCTCGTGTGCAAAAAGCTCAAAGCTGGGGTGCTTTTACTACAGTACTGTAAAGAGCGATGGAATATTTCGTTGCTAGGCCAAGCCATGAATGCACACAGCGAGCCTAACAAATCTCGCTCTACAGCACTGATTAACACAAATGAAGCCAAGATCGTTCTAGGAAATAATACTGTTTCTCCTTCAGTCTTTATTTCCTATAGTTTCCTGAAAACATGACTATAGTTGCTTAACAGTGTGGAAAAAGGATACTTGAGTGCTATAGTATACATGATTTTTAAAATGAGACTTGTATCTAAAAGAGACTTTCGTATTCAAGATCACAAATACACTAATCATGATATAATTTTTAGTCACATAATTCACTGCTACTCTTCATCTACATCTGGACCAAGATTGGTGTGAACGCATACACTAAATTAGCTTATATATTTCAAGACTGTAACTCTACAATGGACATAGTTTTGATATAAACAAGGCTATAGTCCGTCATTGCATATGTACAATTATTTCAAATGGTAAATCACAAGACATTTAAACAGGGTAAATGTTCAGATTAGACTAATGAATAAATAAAAATTTATTCGATGAACCCTATAATCGGCTGGTAATAAATTGTCTATACAGTACCATTGTTAGCAAAAACCTTTTTGTCTCTATGGTTGGAAATTATTGATTCATTTATTGAGCTATTCAGAATTTTTAATCTGAATTTGGCGATTTTCTCTACTCTGGGTTGATCAAGCGTTACGAATAATATATATATTCATAAACCTCATGTGACCGCCCGGATAAGTGACAACTATTTAACGGTAGCAGGTCAAAACGGCAATAAACCAAAACGGCAATAAACAAAACGGCAATGATAAGCACCAAAACGGAATGACAAGACTGTATACTGTACGGTATGTTTTTTAATCCAAGCGCCACCGGGCGCGGACCGCAGTTGATAGTTTTCTGAATCGTTTTGAAATTGTCCCGATAGGCAAATCGAATATTGCCATGTTTTAATGTTTAATCGCTTTTTTGTTTCTTTGTTTTTGGTTTTTTTTTTTTTTTGGGGTTTTTTTTTTTTTTTTTTTTTTTTTTTTCTATGACGAATTATTTAGATTAGATGCTTCATTTTGTCTATAATGTGTCATTTTGTCTCATGAGTAATAATATAATAATTATAAATGTTAAGAAGAATACACAAATTTAATTGGGCAATGTTAAGTTAGGATTTTTGCAAGTTGTACATTTTTGTCATTTTTTTAGTTGTTATATTGCATATTCTTGATGTATTTTTTTGCTTGTGGTCAATTTAATTGGCATACTTGATGTTTTTGTCCTTCCAAGCAAAACAATTATTTTCATGAGATTTATTTTAAATTCATGACGAATAAAGTCAGGGCCGTCGGAACCGCACCGGCTTTAGCCGGTCCACTTTTTTCTCAATTATGATTTTTTGAATAATATACCGATGCCAAATTACATGAATTTATTGTTAATGTTTGCATCATATTGTCTTCTTTATGTACCGGTACATATTTAAACAAAATTACACTATGCGCTTGTTTTTATTTTGCCTATGAACATTTCAATTATTTTGACAATATTTAATTTTAGTAAGATTGATTTTGAAATCACTTCCGTTCAGTGTGCATTCTATATCGCCACAACCATCGTCAGCGACATTATCATCATCATTATCATCATCATCATCATCATCATCATCATCGTTATCACTATCATCACCGTTTATAGTTCTTATCGTCCTCTCATCATCACCATCAACAATCAATGTAAGTATATTGCGAAATGATAACTTGTTCAAAATTCAATTTCTTTTCAGTACTGTACCATAATTAAATTAATTTAGTTAATCATAATTATTACATATTTTTTCTGGGCACCCAAGTAAACAAGGTTTCCTCGGGGACCACTGTAAAACCTTTTCACAAAAACCTCTGGATCGACGTGTATACCTATGATCTGTCTGCCATACATAAACTACGGTAACTGTTAAAGTGTAATCGGTACGTATAAGGTCTAGCAGAAGCGAACACAGAACTTAAATTAGAACACTTTTAACAATTTAAGTGATAGTAACCTCATCTAAGCGTGATCAATTATACTAAATGCTTCAGGCGCTCGAAATCACGGGATTCTTTGTAGGCCTATTCCCAAATCGCATAACATATTGCATCCTGTGTATTCATAACACGTTTTTAATTAATCGCATCTATTCATGTTTATATTTCAAAGATACCAAGCACGTTAAGTAAATATAGTCACTGTTATTTTCTTCATTATGTACAGGCCTGATTATATGTATTCCTGTTCCTTGCACCTTATTTATTAATGAAGGAATAAGCAACATTCTTCTTGGATCTCTTCACTAAGAGTAGGCCTACATATATTTCGGATAGTAGTGCCTTTTTAGATACGGTACGTTATTAGTTTTAATCTTACTTATCTTAGCCATCCTGGCGTTGCAAACAAAATAACGCCGCCGAATAAAAGAAATGCCTATGAAGAATAACGAACATAAACTCACGAGAATATTGGACGTAAGCCTTGCGATCCGTCTTCTGGGCATTCAGAGAGGTGCCGAGTTTCCAAAATTGCCGCGCTTCAGTCCCCCCCCCCCCTCCGCCCCCCCCCCCCTCCTCCCAACCATGATGGAGGTGGGTGGATATGCTCTCAGAGGCCCGGATTAACTTTAAAATCCTGTATCCTGGGGTTAGTGGTCAAACAACTACATATTTTTTTAGCGCCCAACCGCCACCGCCACCCCGCTATTACTATAGGCCTATTAGCCTAATGGCCGAAACTTGCAAAATGCTTCCGACGGCTATATGATCTTTTTTACCGTATATTTTAATGTTATTTATTATTATTTTATTATTATTAATATTAATATTATTATTGTTGTTTGTTGTTGTCGTTCTTTGGCATTTTTTACTTCTATGACAATTTAGTCTAATTTGTACCATATTTAATCGTTTGTACACTTTCATGTTTTAATAACTGGTTTATTATTTTTACTTTTATGACATTTAGCCTCATTTTTACCGTATTATCGTGTAGGACTCAGCAATTTGTTTAATTGGTTTTATGTAGGGCCACATTGAAAATATGTTTTAATTCTTTAAAAAAACTTAGACCATTTTGGTTTACTGCCGTTTTGACTATAGGCCAATTGCTGTTTGGTCTTGCCGTTTTGGTCCATTGCCGTTCTGGGCAAAAATGTTGCCGTTTTGGTCATTGCCGTTTTGACTTATTGCCGTTTTGGTTTATTGCCGATGTGACCAGAAACCAGTAACGCAGAAACATTGTAACAAAAGACAAACAATCGGTAGGTTTCTGTAAATCATTAACTGTCAGTGCTATTTATTCGTAGTCATTCGCCTATCGTGGTGATTGTAATTGTTTATACCAGGGAGTTGTTATGTTGTGATCGACAGTGTGTTGTTTTGTGTGAACAATATAGGCCTTCTATGACATCATCCTATTCTATAGTTATTGGCCTGTACCTTGGCTAGGCATGGCAAGGTGGTACAAAAAGAGAGAGTTGTAGTAGGTCGTCCACAGGCAGGCACGATCATTTTCACAGCTGTAATAAGTTAGCCAACATCATTTTACTGGCATAATGACCGCAGGCCCGTACGCAGGATTTTCGATGGGGAGGTGCGATTTTGCGACCGAAGCGGACCTTAGGATGGGCGACCGCCTGGGGATCCCCGCGGG